TTCCAAGGAAATCAAAAAATACAAGAGGTCAAGGAGGATTAAGTCTACCAAATGAACCCCTGCAACAGAATTACAACCTAACCTATGAAGAAGCACCGTTGTGGATGCTGCAGCCAAGGCCAAAACTCAAGGTCCTCTGATGAACTGCAGAGGCTGCCCAGGCGCACCAAACCCAACCTCATACACATAACATGCTTGGAATATACTGTGTATTTGAAGCCCTCAATATAAATGCTGTAGGAGGTGCTGACACCAGTTTGAGGGCTGTTTTTTGCCTTACGCTTACTCCCATCCCACATGCAATATCTGAGAAGTTCCCCATGAACTTGGGTTGTGAGAACTACACAGCTACACCAGGAAGGAATTTAGCTTTTATTCACCCATCACAAAAACCACCCAATAAACTCCTCAGCATCCAATTTTTAGGTGTTTTATTTTGTAATATATACAAGAGTCTTGCTAGACTGCCTGGCCATGTCACAACATGCGAGCCATTACAGCTGCAACTGAATTAAAGCTTACTTTTTGCAAGATAGCACACTGCATACTTTTAAGGACTGTTGACTACTTAAAAATATTTGTGATTACACTTTCTTCCTGTTCCTCAACAACTTAGAAGCATACCTAAAATGGTTGTAAATGAGATTATAATAATGGCAGGGCAGAATTTTGCAGAGAATTTCTTTACTCTAGATAGAAGTAATTGCAGTCTTAAAGAACTTGAAACACTTTGACTTCTAACTCACTGGCTTATCTTAGAAACAAATCTATCTCTCTTGCCATCTTCACATGCTATAAAACAGGGACAGGCACCAGAGTCAAATGCCTTCATGGCAATCAGAAAAGGGTGTAGCTCCAGGAGCATTTCTCCTGGTAGAAGCACTGGAGCCTTTGCCACAGCAGCTGCTCATCATACCATGAGGGGACACAAGTCAGGGAACTGATCCAGGTGGAGAATGAACTCTTTTGCTGAACTGACCCAAGGTATGAACTGTACAGGAAGAAAAACCATGTATTCTTAACTAGAATCCATCCCCCAGCCTGGCTCACTAAACAGACCCACAAATCCCAGAATGGCCCAGCTGGTGAACTGGAAAAGGCTGCTTACACCTACACCAATGCACAAAAAGAGAACACGAAATTACAGTTTGAGTTTAGGATAACGCTGAAAAAAGTTTTACCTATTGCATGCTTCCACCAGCGGTCTCTGGAAGAACATTAAACTGCTTATGGGATTTGTGACATCGCAGTGTATTCGTCATGTAGACATCAATGGAGGAGTCACCCTGTTCTCATGACAAAGGGCCATAAAAACCAGAGATATATCTTTTTGGAAAAGATCTGTATAGCTTGACTGCAGCAACAAGTTCCCATTCCCTGCTGTAGCTGCTTTCCCTGGAGCACTGCCATCATATTTGCTTATCACTAACCAAAGTAACTAACCAGCTAATTCCCAGTGATGTGCTTTGCCTTCTAGATCTCCATAAAGAAAGGTCATTTGCAAGGGAGAAAGGCAGGTTTTATAAATAAAGAAATAAAATGACAACATTATGCCACATCTACAGTTTTTTTTTTCTCCCGAAAGTAACTAAGAAGTGCAATGCCAGGCTGCAACACCACGGCTGAAGTGTTTAACTACTCAGTTAAGTACAAGGAGTGGCCCGATTCCCTCCCCGCAGCAAGATTGTTGACAGCTGTTTTAATGGAGAAAAGTGAAGCATGACTAAGCTGTTCATAAAAATCCCATTGTACCCAACATCCAAACAAGTTTTGATTTAGAAAAAGTGCAGCACTTCCTGGAAGTGACTGTTCAGGTTGCAAGTGCCAGCCCTGAACCAGGCTCCCAACTGTATTATATCCCCTATGGCAAAACCCACAGCAGCAAAGCAGAGCTCTATCTACACCCAAAGCTATCAGTTGCTTCAGAAAGTCACTTATTACCTTTATCTATCCTACAGGTGATCAATGCAAGCAAGAAACACATGAGCACTTGGCACCAAGCAGCACCCAGAATCACAAGCTGCAGGCTGCAAGATGCTTCCCAACCCATGTACCTGTAAATAGGATGCTGCTTACATTAACCTCCAAGTGGAAACCACAGAAGCTGCCAACTCCCTGTCTAGAAGGCTGGTAAAATGCAGGCCACGATTATTCATGAGGGTATATCATGTCTTTATGGCCACCTGGACTATCCAGCCTTTTGCTCAAATCTAACATCTTATTCCTGCTTTCCACCGGTAGAAGAAGAAACCAAAACTGAACAGGTCCTCCATACTAATCAGCTATGTGGTTTAGTTTACTTCAGGCTATTTATCACCTGTGTGGGGAACCCCTATAGAAATAACACTTAAGAGCACTCAAGCAGATTAGAGAGATAACCAGGTACAGGTAAGTAGAAAAGCTTCCAAGCTGCTTCAAGGACTTCAAGGATCACCACCAAACACCAGGCAGAGAAAACAAAGACACTGGTGTCCTGGAAACAGCATGGAAAAGAAACGACAACTTCTACTAATTATTTTTTTACATAGTTATCTATTAAAACTTACTATGACAGCAGAAAATTATATAGAAGCACCCACTGCCTTTGTAACACAGGAGCATGTGCGTAGCACCAATAAACCTCCTAGTGGTTTTCTTCCTCTAGTATAATTTATTGACCACTGCCTTAATTCATGCTTTGGATGGAATAACCAGATTCCTTTAGCAGTACTTAATCCTCCTCTTTACACAGGAGCATACCCTAGACCAGAACACAGTTTACTCAGGAGTATATCCTGCTGAGAGATTAGTAGCGAGTTCTGCATTAGCCTAAGTCTTCAAGCTTCCCTATGGACTGTGTTTAAAAACATCCATCATCGGACAGTACCTGGCAGAGTTCTGTTTGCATGAGAAGCTTTGACTTCTTAACTGCGTTTTCCTCCTTTGATGCTGTGAAGCTGTAAATCAGGAACCTCAAGCTCCTGCCTTTCTGGCTGCAGTCCCTGGCTGGACTCTGTTCCTTCCAACATGCTGTATCCTCACCTCTCAGGCTATGCCGGCCACTGAAGCCAGGCAGGAGATGCAGGCTGGAACACTGCCACAGAACGCGGCACATCCACACTACCTGAAGGAGACTCGTCATTCAGGCTACCTACAAAACCTGTCAGCCTTGAAGAACCTCACATCCATGCCCTTCTAGCAACAGCCCCAGGCCAGCCTGTCTGCCCAGCACTGGCCAGTGCCGGAAGGACAGACAGGAGATGTATTAGGCTCAACCCACTAACACAGAAGATAGGTATATGCTTGAACTCATGCCAAGGGACAACCCATGCCCAGATGATCCTCACCTTGCCTAATTCACCCTTACCCTGGTACCAGGTTTGTGAAAAACCAACCCCAGGTGTCCAAACAAGATACTGTCACCACGGATGGTAACAACCTGGACCAGGGTGGCCCAAACCGCAGCAAACACCTTCTGCGTAAACACTCCTCTAGTAGAGGCGGAAAGCTTCTATCCACAAGCATGGATGTTATGAGGTTAATGTCAATCTATTCCCACTACTAAGGTATCCATGTATAAAAATACACCTCCTCTAACACAGTAATAAATGAATCATTAGTGCTTTACCTTTAAGGAACTATGTGGAACTTGGTTCACCTTTGCAATTCCACAATAGCTTGGCAAGGGCGTGCAGAACATGAAAAACACACCCTGGCAAGGGGCTGGTTTTAAGCCGCAGAGTCACCAAGAACAGAAATAATGTAGCTTGGCCCTTTAAAACTGATTAGATTACATTAGCCAAACTCCCGGCACACAAGACACTCATGGATCTCAGACCAACTGTCTAAACTCAGCTCTGAAGCTACATGCTTTACATATTTTCTACTGCATCGCATATCTCCATGAGTACCTAAAGTTTTACGGCTGACCAAGATTACAGCGACCAACTGCCCTGCAGAAGTACAGCATTTCTAATCCCTTTATCGAGCCCCTATCTGCTCATCTGCAACAGAATCAGTACAGCATGCTCTTCAACAACAATAAAAAAACAACTTCTAAAAATCACTTTTTTCCACTCCTGAGCTCCAGTTAATGTGGAGCCCCATGAAGGACACTGGAGCAGAACCCATTACAGAGGTCAGCAAAATGGATCTCTACAAATCCCAACTCCTTTATATGACTTGCAGGGATAACAACCACAGAAAGTGGATTAATAAACTCTGACAATTCACAGGTTAAGAAACAACCACCCTTTATCAATCCTCCTCCAGGAACTCCTCCATTCGCTTCAAAAGAAGAGTGTCTCCACTCGTAAGGAAAAGAAAAAGCATTATATTTTCAAGCAACAGATGAATGCACAAAACGGGCCCCATGGCAATGCCCCCCCCCCCCCCCCGAGTAACCTCAAAGCCCCACTTAGCCCCAACGGTGAGAAAAGCCAACCCCAGGCTGTCGCTCTGGAGACCGATAGAAACCCCAGATTAACTGCAATAAACTTAGATAAAAGTTGCATCAGCGCCGCTGGAGGGATTTTGGGGGTGCGGGTATCAATAACCCCAACACCGAGGAAGCGGAGGGGGACGTTGGGACCGGATTTCAGGGTACGGGGGGGTACCCGGGCACACACTCCGGGCACGCTCCGCGCCCGCTCCCCCGGGAATAGGGACGTTCCCCCGGGGGGACCCCGCCCGGCCCCGGCCCGCCGCGCACCGCCGGCCCGCAGACAATAGCGGCTGGGAACAGACGCGAAAGGAAACGCACGGCATAAATTAACACCAAATAATATCGATAAAGCGAAAGGGGAAAAAGCGAAGAGGGGCCCGGAGCGGCTCCACGCGCAGTTGCTCGGAGAAAAGGAGAAAGAAACGAGGAAGAGGAGCAGGAGGAAGGGCGTGGGAAGCGTGCGAAGGCGCGGGAAGGGGACCCCCCAACCTCCGGGGAGAGCCCACCCATCCGCCATGGGCCTCCCAAACTTCCCCCTGTAACCCCTCTCCGCTTAACTCCGGCGGGACACACTCACCGCTGGGGCCCGGCGGGCGGCTTCGCCCCTGGCAGCGGGGCCGGGAGGGAAGGGAGAGGGAAGGGGACGGGGAGGGGGAAAGAGGCGGCCGGGCCAGGCGCTCTCCGCCCGGGGAGGCGGGCAGGAGGCAGGGCCGGGGGCTGCGGGCTCGCAACCTGAGCCGAGCCGTCGGGCCCGCCCCCGCCACGGCCCGCATGCGCGGAGCGGGGAGCCCCGGGGGCGGTGGAGGGTGAGGAGCGGCGGGGAGCAGGGAGCTCGTGGATGAGGTTCAGCTGCGCTTCACCCCTGCCCCGGTGGGGAGGAGGGTGAGGGCGAGGGCGGGCCGGGGGGAGGCTCGAGTCCCGGTCCGGTGCTGCCTGGGCGGGTTCGGATTCCTCACCTGCGGGCCCGTCCCCTGGCCGGTTTGCTCGACTAGGGGAGATACAGCTGCTTAAATCATAGAACGGTTTGCGTTGGAAGGGACCTTAAAGCTCATCCAGTTCCAACCCCGTGCCACGGGCAGGGACACCTTCCACTAGAGCAGCTTGCTCCAAGCCCCTGTGTCCAACCTGGCCTTGAGCACTGCTAGGGATGGGGCAGCCACAGCTTCTCTGGGCACCCTGTGCCAGCGCCTCAGCACCCTCACAGGGAAGAGCTTCCTTGTATCTAGCTTACTTGTTTATAATCTTGTGCCACTGGCGTGAAAGGACACAGACAACTTCTTATGCAGCAGGTTTATGTTTATTGAAGGGAAATCCTTAGAGGCTTGTTTTGCTGGGGTTGTGTTTGTTACAGCAGTCACAAAGCGTAAGCTGTCCAGCCCTGAATGTGCTGCACATCCACACATACCAATCACAAAAACTGGCAGGTCAACTTGAGCCCCACCAGGCGAGCCCCCAGCCTTGTCCTGCTCCTCACCATCTTCCCCTGGTTCCTGTATGGATGCGGGAAGCATGTGAGTTTGATCGAGGAACATCTCCCGTTCCATTCCCACGCCTTGCCCCAGAAAAGCAGTGGAAATGGCAACCCACCATTAGCAAACGAGTTCATGTGGCCTGTGGTCTGCGTGTGGTTGAGTTTGAGGAGGCCCCTGGGAATCAAGATGCATGATCTGTTGTGGCGAGTTGCCTTCAATTACCATTTCTGTTGGAAGCTCTTCGGAAATGCATATATGTGATGGCCTGACCTTTTCAGTTGACTTAACCTACAGCACATGTGTGTACCTCGCTAGCCCTGGCGGTGAGCGGGTGATCATGTCCATAAAGACAGTAACGACACTGACTTTAACATGTGTCCTGCCCTGCTGGAGCTGGGCAGCCTCACCCCATGACAACCAACCCTAAAACCACAGTATTTCCCAAAGAGACCTTGCTGCTGGCCAGAGCACTGGGCAAAGGCTGCAGGTAGTTACTATACATCACGTTCACTCTAGGTAGGATAAATAACAACGCTGTATACAGTGCAGGAGGTTTCCTGCTAAAGAACTGTGTGTATGAACTTGCCATTGTCTTTCATAGTATGCACTGTTGTTTCAGTTTAAATCAACTGAAATAATAGAAATGGTTTCAACACTGCTGTAGTGTGGTCGTTTTGGAAGCTGAAATGTACCAGCATTGCACACCCTTTTCAACCAGGATGTGAAGCAATAGTTTTTTCTTACGTGGCTCCAACAGGGTAAGGCACATAAGAGCAGGGACACTGGAAATACATTTTCATTTGCCTCCCAACCCTGCAAGAAGGGGTTATGGAGCAGATAGATCACTTGGAAGTTCCCAGATCCAAGGAGAGGGGTCAGGCACAGTGATGGCTCAGGAAAGAGCACCATCTAGTGAAAACCGGCTTCTTGCACAAACTCTTTCCCCTGGAAGCCTCCAACCAACCAATGACTAACCCAGCCCAGCCCAACATGCCTCCACGGACCTGAAGCAATCCTGAGTGCGGGAGCGTGGTGACAGGTACCTAAAGTTTTCCATAACATGCACACACCGGGATCTTTAGCTCTTCCCTCTTGGTTGTCCATCAAGGGAACATCTCTGCTTGTCAACTCCAGCCTGGCAAGTCAACTTCTGTCTTCTGCTGCCTGGAGCTGACACAGTCTGGTCTTGCTCTAGGAGCTCCCCAGTCACACCATGGGGTATCATAAGGCCCCCAAAAGAGGGCTCAACCTTCTGTGTATGTGTATGTGACCATGAATATGGGCTCACACATGCCACTCTTAGTTTGGAAATAGCTTTGGGGAGTCTTTTCAGCCCAAGTTTAGATCTGAGCCCAGGTCTCCCTTGCATGTGGGGGCAAGGATCAGAAAGCATCTGCCACAAAAAGGCTGTATCAACCCCTTCAGCTGCCCAGCCTCTGCCCTCAGCAGCGCTTAATACATCATTTTACATTTCCCTTCCCCAAGATATAGTCTATGCTCTATTTTCGTCTCTAAATTGTTATCCACCCCCAAATTCTTTATCTGAAAATATGCTGTCTGCACCCACATATCACCACAAACCAAAACAGAGAGGCAGTAGATAAAGGGAAATTTGTGCAGCAGCTTTGTGGATGCCTCCTGACAAATCATTTGCCTTCAAATCATCTCTGGCACTGGTTCCTCTGCGTTTCACCATTTGCCATAGGTCCAGGTCTGCTTTTCAAACACTATAAAAACGCAATAAAATATATCAGTGTTATAACCAGAACAATCAGGTGTTCATTCATTGCCTCTTTCAGCTTTTAATTTGTCACAAGCTTTGCTGCAGGGCTTCTGACTTCTTACGAGTGAACTGGATTTAAGTGGGAGTTGCATTAGTGAGTAAGACTGGAATCTGGGTCTGCAGAGCGTAATCTGAACATTGTGTGTAGTGGCATGAATTAGCAATATGAGCACATTGTTCCCACTTATGGAAATTAGCTGTCCTTGCAACTGAATAGAAAACAGAGTGCGATGTAATGATGGAAGCACCAACTGCTAAAGATTTGTTTTCATCATGTTTAAGCAGCTACAGAATGGAGACACTGAGCATTAATGTGGCTGACAACAGCGTGTGGTGTTTTCTTTGTGTTCCTGCTTGTTTGAAGCCAATGCCTGGTAGCTGAGGTAGCATCAGCTACATCAGAAGAGATTTTAATACCATTTTCCAAACTCTATCAATGTCATCTCTCAGTCCCGTGAGAGGTACCATCTTTGCGGAAAAATCATGGACTGTGGCTGACAGCAGCCTTCAGGAGAAGCTTCCCCATTCCCCTGGGCAATGTATCTCAGCTACTGTGTGAAAGTTCTCAGTGTGTCACAATCACCAGACATTAGAGTGTGGCCTTAGGACAGGAGATAGCCTGGAATGAGTGAACTGCAATAAAAGCCACCCAAACCAAAACACGAACCATTACGGCCTGCAATATTAAATTACTATTAAAGACAGTTCCCTGGGTTCCTCTTCTCCCTGTCTGTGGGAAGTCTGTGGAGCTTTGGTGGGAGGAGAAGGGGTGCAGCCTTGCACCTAGCTGTCACCCACCACGTACCTCACTGCTCATCACTGCTCTTCCTGATTATTTCTCAGTGCTGGGAAGCAGTGCTTATCAGTTGCTCATGCAGATGTCATTTTTGTTGGCTGTTCAATTGGTGGGGCACATCTAGCAGGTCCACCTCTGCAGTCCGTGGGGCCCCTGTGTGCTGATAAGCTGTGCTAACACCAAGCTCTCAGAACTTGCCCTTGTCATTGGAAGCACTGATATAAATACTGCCTTTTTCTTCTGATCAAAAAAATCCAGTTATTAACGTTTAAAGGACCTAAAAACAGACAAGGGAACATCTCTGCTACAGCCCCAGCAGAACCCCATCCATGTGCATCTGTGACAGGCACAAATAATGTCATTTTACATCATATTTGCTTTAAATATTTTCAAAACCAAAGAAATCATCTGGTGAGCTACATGTTGTACTTGCACCTCCCTTTGTTAGGTCTGTATCTCCAACTTCCAAGCAGTGAGCCCAGAAACAAGAAGTAAAAGCCACCGAAGAACCAGAAGAGCTCCACAATCGGTTTTGCTGTCCCGCAAGGGTAAGGCATGTACAGGTGTGTTACAAAGGAGGTGACATTTCATCCCTTTCACCCTCCTCCTGCCTAGGCTAAGAAATACTAGTACCTATAACAGTAAATAACACACAGACTTACTGCCTTCCCCAGAGCTCTGGAGATCTGACAGTGTTTCTTTGTCCCAGCAGAGGGACTTGAGCCATGTCTGTGGCTTGCAATGTAGGATAGGTGCTACATAGAGCAGAAACAGTGGGATGAAAGATGAAAGGAGACTTGCAGGCTGCAATCACTGTTATCATTAAGCCTCCTGGGATGGTTTTCTCTTGCAATTCAGCTTTATACTTCATGTTTTGTCAAAGGACACTGTTAACAGGAGTCTGCTCTGGCCATCCTGTTCTTTTCAATATACCTTTTAATTTAATCCTATTCTATTTCTAACCCAACAGCAAGGGTTGTTGTCCAGTTACGTGCAAAGCGAGGGATAGGCAAATCAATGCCAAAAGGCTTCACTGAAGTATCAGAAAACATTCATCAAATCAACTTACAAAACTGAATTATGTGGGACCCCAGGAGTAAAAAATGACAAACACAGAGAGTTAAATTGATAGCAGACCGGGATAAAAGCTTTTAGTCAGTTCATGCTATAAAATTAAATCAAATGCAGTATACTCCCTAAAAAATTAGAGCAGTTTCCTCATCCCCTGCACTCTACTCAATTTCAGATCTAAATAACATACAAAGTAGATTAAAATTAATCAAGGCAACAGATCCCACAGCAAAGCAACTAATCAAGAAAGCAACACATGCGTTTGCAGCCATTTACTTATTGCCATCACCACGTGTGGCCAGGATGTGAACGCATATGACATCCCTGGCTTCTCTGAAACCGATGCCAGAGCATGGTGTACTTGGGTTTGTTTTGTGAGGCAGTAAGAGAAACTGTCAGCTTTTAGGTCACTTGGAAATATTTACTTGAATCTTGCAAATATTATGAAGGGTGAAACAGGACAGAATTGTGTATATATTTATATATAGTGTGGATGTGCAACAGTAGCTTTTTCTCTGTGTAGGACATGATTGCTCCATCTCTGACTTCAACTATTCAGCTTTTCTCTATAGGTGTATATGGACTGGATGAGACCTTCCAAGCTATGGAATGTCAGGGAGGAGTGTT